AGACAATTAGGAATAGTGCTTCCTCAAGACCCAGCTATACCACTGCTAGGTATATATGCAAAATTTGTTCAAGTACACAACAAGGACATTTGTTCAACCATGTTTGTAGCAGCTTTATTTGTAATAGCCAGAACCTGGAAACAATCCAGATGTCCATCAAGGAGGAATGGATACAGAAATTGTATTTTTACACAATGGAATACTACTCAGCAATCAAAAAGGAGGAAATTATGAAATTTGCAGGCAAATGGTGGGATCTAGAAAAGATCATTCTGAGTGAAGTATCCCAGAAGGAGAAAGACAAACACGGTATATACTCGTTTATATAGACCTACAAGGTATGATAAACATAATGAAATCTATACACCTAAAGAAGATAAACAAGAAAGCTGACACGGGGTAAGATGATCAATCCTCACTTAGAGAGACAAATGGGATGTGCATTGGACATATGACAGGAGTCTACCACAGAAGGCATCTGAAAGACTCTACCTAGCAGTATTTCAAAACAGATACTAAGTCTCATAACCAAACCTTCGGCAGAAGGGGAGTTAGTATGACATGGAAAAGACAGGAGCTCCACAAGGACCAAATAGGGCACAGAGGTCTTTTCTGAGACTGACACTCCACCCAGGACCATGTATGAATGTAACCTAGAACCTCTGCTCAGATGTAGCCTGTGGTAGCTCAGTAACCAATTGGTTTCCCATAGTAAGGGGAACAGGGACTATTTCTGATAGGAACTCAATGGTAGGCTCTTTGACCTCCCCACCCCCTAAGAGGGGAGCAGTCCTGCTAGGCCACAGAGGAGGACTCTGGAGATACCTGATAAAACAGGGTCAGTTGAAAGGGTGGGTGGTCGTCCCCAATCAGTGGACTTGGAAAGGGGCAGGGAGGAGATGAGGGAGGGAGGGTGGGATTGGGAGGGAATAATGGAGGGGGATACAGCTGGGATACAGAGTTAATAAAATGTAACTAATAATAAAAAAATAAAATTAAATTTTAAAAAACTGTATCCACACTTAAATTTAATACAATTTATGATTTCTAGCTTATAATCTAAAAAAATAAGCTGTCAAGAATAATAAACAAACTTCTTTTGACTTACAACAACCATTGGCTTAGTGCAATACTCCAGAGCAAGATTGTTAAAATGGTCAGGCAGTCAAGTTACATATAAGATATATTGATACTATTATTTTATTTATTTTATTATTACTTCCTGTTTTTGCCTTTTGGTGACCAAAGTTATATGTAATATGTAGATAATGTTTACATAATAGTATGTCTCTGTGTTACTCAGTGTCTTTACAAAGATAGATACAGATGATGGCAGGTGTCCAGAAACAAGAGATATCATTTTAAATGAAGGTGGAATTTCTTCTGCAATTTAATATATTTGCAGTATCTCATAATATGTTTCCATTTAAAGGAAAAAACATGGTACCATGATAACAATATGAGCAAATGTAGAGAAATAAAATAACCATACACATTCAAGAAAGAAAATTAAATTCATCCATATTGAAGAGTTGCTGAAACCATTGAACAGGGCTAAAGAAATCAGTTTTTCTCATACTGGGATACTTTGTAACAAGAGTTAATAGAAATGATACAGAACAAAAGTGGGGAAGGAACAGCAGAACCTGTCTGTTTCTGTAGATCTCAAAGAAACTTGTTTCTAAGCAGATATTCTAGAACTTAAAAGAAAGACAATTGAAGAATGGAACTTACACTTACCTTTGTTATGTCAGCTTTTAAAAGTGTTAGTCCATGTAGGTGTCTGAATAAGGTTGTAACTGCTAAGACCATGGGATCCAATAATTCATCTTTCGGTAAGCCATTAAATAGATAAGTTCTATGAAAATAGGCATCTATATTTATATATATTTGAATACACTCATACAAGCACACACAGAAATGGTAAGGAATCATGTTCTACATGCATGCATATAAAACATTAAGAAGGCAAATGTAATTTTTATATAAAAGTTTTATTTGGATAGTGCTTCTAAATTATTTTTATTTTGATGTTGTTAGTCATAACTTGAAACACACTCAATAGGGCTGCATGTTCGAGTGAGAAAAGTCCAGTAGTAATTAGGGTAAATAGATTAATAAATAGGATGAGACTGTAGAGAAGAGAGGAGATATTTTCAAACATAATGAATGGCCATTTGCTTAGAAGTATCTCTATTACGATGACACTTTACACAAAATTATCAGAACATTATATTCTCTAAAAATAATGTTAACAGGTAGTCTGACTATTGAAGCATTTTTATTAACTTTCTTATTACTTAATTTTGAGAGATTAATATAATTTAAGTCCATTCACAGACATACTAAATGAATCTCTGATCATGAATAAAATTCACATTTCATAATTGCCAAGCAAGTTGTTGAAAAGCATGAAGAGCAACACAACAATTCGGTACTTTACTCCCAAGCCAGAAGTGTTGCTTTGGCTGCTTTCTCCTGAGGATTTTGTTTTTTCCTGTGAGCTCTGTGTATCCTATGACATGAGTCTTTCATTGTGCAGATTACCTACTGAGTACTCAAGGAACTTCTTTTACTCTAAGTGTGAGGTTGATTTTCAACCTGAGACAACCTCTCTTCAAAGGCTAAGCAAAGACTCATAATAACAATACCTGATTTCTCTCTTAATCAACTATTAAACGAAAGCTTATTGACTATACAATTAAAAATTATTATTACTGAAATTTTACTACCTAATTCATACAAAGATAATATAGACTTATATATATATATATATGTCTCTCTCTCTCTCTATATATATATATATAAGTATATATATATATACATACATATATATATATATATATATAGCTATATAAAAAGACTAAGACTTTTGTCTTAGTCACTGTTCTATTGTTACCCCACTTCCAGTATCAACATAGGCATTGTTTGATTGCTGTGAAGAGACACTATGACAAAGGCATTTAACTGAGTGCTTGCTTACAATTTCAGATGAGTAGTTCATGATAAACACTGTAACAAGCATGGCACTGGAGTAGTAGCTGAGAGTTAAATCCTGATCTACAGAGAGAGTTAGGGAGAGAGAGAGAGAGAGAGAGAGAGAGAGAGAGAGAGAGAGAGAAACAGAAACAGAAACAGAGACAGAGAGAGCTCACCCCCAATGATATACTTCCTCAAACCAGGCCAGACCTCCTAATCTTTCTAACCCTATCAAAGAGTCCCATTCTCTGATGATTAAGAATCCAAATATGTAAGTGAACTGGGGGCCATTATTATTCAAACCACTACAAGTACCTCTGACAAAGAAAATCAAAATTCAAAATTCAAAAAATTAAGAAAAAGTATAGATAATAAAGCTTAGATCATTAATGATGTAAGAGTGTTTGAAATGAATGCTCATTCAGGATTTCATTCTTGGTAGTGAAGTATAGGGCTTCCTTTCCCTAATTTTGTCTTTCTTATGAAGTTTTGAATATACAAGTAAGTGGATCACGATTTTTCCTCATACAATAGCATTGTTAGCATGTTGTAACAGGAGGAAAAGCAATATTCTAGATTGAGTTGAGAATTTTGGTCAAAGTTGATTGAACTTGCGGCACGCATAGCTGGAAAATAGAGATGACAAGTACAATGAGAGGAGCTTGAAACACAGTAAACAGTTGGGTCTTTTGTAGATTTGAAGTGTGATTTTATGTTAGGATAAATCATTGTTACTATTTTTAATATATAAATTAGATACTGAAACATGCTAAAAAGCAGAACAACTACTTTTTCAAGAGAATGATAATTCCACTTTGGTGCAAAGTTCTTTTTCTTAACTTTTAATAATTATACTTTATTCACTTTGTGTCCCCCCCATAAACTCCTCCCTCCTCCCCTCTCAATCCCACCCTCCCTCCCGCTTCTTCAAGCATGCCCTTCCCCAAGTCCACTGATAGGGGAGGTCCCCCTCTCTTTCCTTCTGATCTTAGTCTATCAGATCTCATCAGGAGTAGCTGCATTGTCATCCTCTGTGGCCTGGTAAGGCTGCTCCCCCCTCAGGGGGAGGTGATCAAAGATCAGGCCAATCAGTTCATGTCAGAGGCAGTCCCTGTTCCCATTACTATGGAAGCCACTTGATGTAAAGTTCTTATACAGGATAGTAGCTTCACCAATGGTTTCTTGAACTAGTAATTGTGGTTGATCATGGAAGATTCATTTTTAAGAACAGTAATTCGTCAGTTGTGAAAATAGATATTTTCCTGGGAGTCAATTTAGTAGATGAATTTATAGCACAATTAATCTTGATGTGGTTTTAATTGCAATTGCAATTTGAAATGCAAGAAAACCCTATACAGTAACTACCATATAATGGAACAATTAATTTAATTAAGTAATAAATGTCATAAAATAAAATAATGTCTACAAAAAAATTTACATATTTCTCCCTATTAATATGATGAAGTGTCATTTGAGACACAAAGGAAGAATTATTGAGATTTTCCTAAGTCATTATGTGCAAATCATGATTTCCTGTCAAAACAGGGTATTATTTTTTTCATTGACATGATTTGATTTATTTGCAGTGGAGACTATACACACACATACACATACACACACACACACACACACACACACAACCACACAAACAGCATTATGATGTCTCTCTCTATGCCCATGATGTAGGTAATATAATAACCAATTCATAGTTGCTGTGCTTTTGCTCAGTGAAGTCCAGTTCTGCCTAACCAATACTTATAAGATGTACACTGTAATGCCTCAGCTAAACACTAATCCATTTTAACCCATTCTCTGATCCTTATGTTCCACATGGTCTGCTCACTCCCAAAACCTTTTTTCCCATCCTTTTTGTTTTTATTTTTAGTTCTCTCTCTGATGGTTTGACTCCTCCAGAAGACAGACCATTACATATGACCACTACCTCCAACACACTTAAAGAGAAGAGACACACTAGCAGTGACTCCCTCTCTATATAATTTGCTTTCACCACTTACTTCATAATGACAGTGTTGGAGACCCTGGTGTGTGTGGAGATCACTGTCTTGCCACTGTGGCTAAAATTAACTCTGTTCTTCTCTGGATGGCCACAGACTGGGAAAACGCAATACCACAGCCCCCCTGAAGTAGTGATACCTTTGAGAGTCATGGGTGCTTACAGAGGTATGGATGCTCCAGACTGGATCTCTTATAGCCTGCACTTTGGGGGTGAGAGGCACATTGTCCACATGAAAGCTAAGAAGAACTTCGTGTCCAGATCTCTCACTGTGTTCACTTACACTGAAGAGGGTGCCCTTCTTGAGGACCAGCCTTTTGTCCGGACTGACTGCTACTACCATGGTTATGTGGAAGGGGACCCAATATCTATGGTTACTCTTAGTACTTGCCTAGGAAGCTTTCAGGGAATGCTGCAGATAAATGGAATCACCTATGAAATCAAGCCCAAAGTGCTTTCGGCCACATTTGAACATCTAGTGTATAAGTTGGATAAGGAGGACAAACAGTATACACCCATAGGGTGTGGACTAACTAAAGAAGAAATAGCAGAGCAACTGAAGTTTCAAGAGAATGATAATTTCACTTTGATGCAAAGTTCTTATTCAGGGTGGTGGCTCCACCGATGGTTTCTTGAACTAGCAATTGTGGTTGATCATGGAAGATTCATTTTTAGGGACAGTAATTCATCAGCTGTGGAAATGGATGTTTTCATGGGAGTTAATTTAGTAGATGACATTTATAGCTCAATTAATCTTGATGTGGTTCTAATTACAATTGAAATTTGGAATTCAGGAAACCCTTATACAGTAACAACCACACGTCATATGATGGAAGAGTACTGCAAATGGAAGAAATCCAGCTTCAATAAACGTGTGGTTCATGATTCTGCTCATATTATTGTGAAACAGGATTTTTGCATCAATGATCTTAGTACATCATATTTTTCAGGAGTATGCAATATGAATTTGAATTGTGGTTTGGAATGCATTATGGATGATGGATTAGCTTCATTTAGGACATATGTGACACATGAGATTGGTCATGTATTGGGGATGAAGAATGATGAAGGGAACTATTGCACATGTGGGAGAAACATATGCATAATGAACAAAAAGCTAGTACCTTCAGATGCATTCAGCAACTGCAGTTATGAACAATTTATAGACACTATTTCTAGAAAGAATTGTTTAAGCAATCCCCCAAATCCAGAGACTATTGTTACAAAGAAACGCTGTGGGAATGGTATAACTGAAGATGAAGAGGAATGTGACTGTGGTTCCTTAAAATTGTGTGCACAAGATATATGTTGTTTAGAAAACTGCACTCTGGTATCTGGGGCAGCATGTGCTTCTGGGATGTGTTGCCAAAACTGCCAGTTCATGTCATCAGGCACCGTGTGCAGGAAACGTGTCAGTCCTTGTGATCTGCCAGAGTGGTGCAATGGAAGCTCTGGTGCATGCCCAGAAGATGTGTATGTGGAGGATGGGATCAACTGCCTGGACAGAAATATCTGCTTTCAAAAGCGATGTAATAACCACGATGAGCAATGCAGAGAACTTTTTGGTGAAGGAGCTAAGGGTGCAAGTAAGATTTGCTATCTAGCAATGAATACCAGAGGCGATCGCTTTGGTCACTGTGGTATGAAGAATACGAAGTATGTAAGATGTGATCAACAAGATGCTCTGTGTGGGAGAGTGCAATGTGAGAATGTGACACAAGTTCCCCATTTGCACAATCATTATACTGTGCATTCAACTCACATTGATGGACACAGCTGTTGGAGTACTGACTACCACTTTGGGATGAGTGTACCTGACATTGGTGAGGTGAAGGATGGTACCGAATGTGGTTCAGACTCTTTATGCTTAAAAAAGAAATGTGTCTTTATGCCAACTAGGGAAGAATCTTGTATGCCCTTTTTCTGCAATAAGAGAGGGATCTGTAATAATAAACATCACTGCCACTGCAATGAACGCTGGGCCCCACCCAACTGCCTACTTAGGGGCAATGGCGGTAGTATTGACAGTGGGCCACCTCCCAAGAGAAAATCACACAAGATGATTTACATCATAATAATTGCTTGGATGGTTGCTTTTATTTTATGTTCCTTCTTGTTACTTTGTCTTTTGTATTTAGAGAATTTAAGATATGAACAAAAAAGAAGATCTATTGCAGCTTTACCCAGGAAAAGAAAACATCATTTTGAGAAAGAAGAAAAAAGTATTGAAAAAGAACTTAAGCAACAAAATCAAAATGTTGAGCTGTCTGAGGAAGAAATGAAGGATGCTGAAACTCCAGAAAGTAAAAAAAAATGAAGATGTTCTACAATAGAGAGCTGGATATCATGAAAACATTTCCTTTCCAATAAATAACAGTAAAATATTCAATACCTTATGTCAGAAATAATTACAAAAATGTAGAATTAAAAAAACACATTCTTGTTCTAAGTCAAATTTTTGATATATTCTTTTCTGGTGTTCTGGTAGCAGAATATGACATGTATCAGTGACAGTTGAGAGAAAATACCAGAAATCTATGGTTTTTCATGATTGTAAAGACACAACCACCAATAAAGGTAATTCTTAGCACATTCCTAGTTTTCATTAAATTAAAATTTTAACTAGTTTATTTTTATTGTTGAATCAGTCTGTGTTCACTGATGAAAGTACAGTTAATTGATGGTGTATCTCAGTTTGTTAGTTTGTTGTCTTTCAATTAGAAATCTATTTTCCTTTCACACAAGAAAAAAAAATCACACTTGTTTTTTTTCTAGTTCTTTCTACAACGTTTTGCCAGTAGGAGTGCTACAGGGAGACTGGCAAGAAATTTATATAAATGTTGCCTTGGCAATAGTTGTAGTTTTAAGTCTTCACTTTATTATTGCAGTTGTTAACTTCAGACAAATGAAATTCAGCAAATTTTCTTTGAATGAGGTAGGTTTTATGCATTAGTCACCCACTAAACCTCAATAGAATTTAAAAGATCCACCCAGTGGTTTGGGAAAGCAGAAAGAGGACCTACAGAGACTTAAGAGAAGCGATGTATGGAAATAGATTGGGTTCTATGAGAAATGTGTCTTATTTGGCATACTGAGATAAGGCATTTGTATTCTTTGTTGAAGATCTGAAGAGTTAGCAACCTTAGTTACTTGAATATTTGCTGCAAGCCAATTACTATGAAGAAAACTTTGCCTCATTTCCTTTTCTTTTAGATGCTTTGAATTTTATTTGGAAACCCTGACTTAACCTAAGTAGTGCATCCAATTTCTAGCCAATTTGTATTATGTGTATTTTTAGTGCATGGGTCACAAGCAATCATCACCTCTTGCCTAACATAATACATAATCTCTTTCTGCTACTAATGTCTCATCTACAAAAGGGATAGAAATTTAGTTAACTGCCCATAGGAATATGAAATTCTTAGTACATAGCAAATATTCAAATGTTACTGGATACAGATGCAATTCTAAAAAAAATGTGAATAAATAATATTTGTTCATAGGCAGGGTAAATTTGAAGTTGAAGTTTTTGTGGGTTGGTTGGTGCTCCCCTCACTCTTCTAGGAGACTAGTTAGTGGGTTTCCTCTTTACTGTGTATGGCCTCTGCTACTAGGAGTCTCTGCTTGAGTACTCCTCATATCTTCTTAGGAGCCTACCCTGACCTAGGTCTCCAGCTTGTCACAGAGATGCCCCCACCCTCAGTTTCCCTTTTTTTTTTCTACAGGCCTTCTGTCCCCTTGCCTTCATTCTCCCTAGCTCTGGTTGCAACCCTCTTAACTTTGCACCTCTCTCCTACCTTGTACCCTCTCTTCAGCCTCTACCTCTGTCTCTTCTATCTCCCCTTCTGAATGAGATTTATGCATCCTCCCTTGAATCCTCTATTTTACTTATGTTCTTTGGGTCTGTGTCTCACAGTATGCTTATCCTATGCCATATGGCTAAAATCTACTTATAAGTGAGTACATACCATGTGTGTCTTTCTGGGTCTGGGTTACTTCACTCAGAATAATCTTTTCTAGTTCCATCCATCTGCCTGCAAATTTCATGAATTGTTTATTTGTTTTTAATAGCTGTATAGTATTCCATTGTGTAAATGTGTCACAGTTTCTTTATCTATTCTTCAGTTGAAGAACATCTAGGTTGTTTCTAGATTCTGACTATTGTGAATAATGTTGCTATGAAAATAGTTGAGCAAGTGTCCATGTTATATGGTGGAACATCTTTTGGGTGTATGTTCTTTTGGGTATAATGTTCTTTTAGAATGTATATACCTTACCCTTGTTCATGAACCCTTGTTCATTCAAATGCTGATTTCTCTCCTCCACTCTCTGGTTTCAATCCGGACATTGCATTGTGATACTTATTCTAAGCACCACCTGTGTCAACTTTGTGTAACCATGCCAAAATAAAACAAGCAGCCACAATGTTGAGCAATGGAGAAGAAGGAGTAGGTGAAAGAAGGGAGGAGCCAGAGGACAGGAAGGAGTGGGAGGCAGAGGAAGAGGAGAGAGGAGGGAAGCTGGGAGAACTGAGGCAGGAGCAGAGGTCTTGGAATGACAAGGAGAATGATCCAGACCTAAGATTTCACAAAAAGCAAGTATAATGTGGTAAATCTAAATGTTAGAAAACTATGAGGCCTTGGAGGTTTAGGATAGAGAAACTATTGCCCAGCATTGTGTTCTGGGTTAACTAAATAAATCACAGTCTCTTTGTGGTGATTTGGTTACACAGCTGTTTAAGATTAACAGCAGCTTTACTAAAAGATAATTAATAGTAAATTTTAATGCCATAATACAACAGGTATATACCCAGGAGAGATGTAGCTGGATCTAAAAGATATGCAGGGATAAAGGTAGAGCAGATGGAGCAGAGATTGAGGGAATGCCTAACCAATCCTGGTCCAACCAAAGACCCACCTATCGGAGAGTGCCAAACCCTGACACTAGGAAGGATACTCTGAAAAACTTGCGGAGAGGAGCCTGACAGAGTTGTCCTCTGAAAGGCACTACCTAGCAGTGCCTCAAAACAGATTCAGGACAATACTCACAACCAAACATTGGGCGATCGATGCTTAGGGAGTTGTGTGGGAGGGAAGAGAACCTGGAGGTGATAGGAGCTCCACAAGAAGACCAACAAAGCCAACTAACTCAGACCCAGAGGGCTTACTGACACTGAAGCCTCAATCAAGGCTCATGCAGGAACTGGACCTAGAGTCCCTATACAGATGTAGCAGATGGGTACTTAGGCTTCAAGTGTGTCCTCTAGTAAGGGAAGTGGGGACTGCATTTGACACAGACTCACTTGGCAGCTTTTGATCACTTTCTTCTGGAGGGACTGCCTTTCCAGGCCACAGGGGAAGAGGACAAGATCAGTCCTGATGCAATATGATGAGATGGGGTGGATGGGAAAGGAACCTTTCCTTTTCTCAGGAAAAGGGGAGAGTGGAGAGAAGGAGGATGGGAATGGGAGAGGAGGAGGGATGGGGCTACAACAAGAATGTAAAGTAAATAAATTGAGAGATAAAAGATGTTACCAGAACGTGCCTCACTGCCTCTGTGCTAAGACTTTATAGTAAGCATCAATCAATGAAAAAAAGAATCTAATACAAATCAATAGGTAAAGAACTAAGGAACAGAAATTAAATAAACATCAGAGCTTCTATAAAAATATTATTCTCTCATTCTGTTTTGTTTTATTTTATGTGCGTGATTGTTTTGCCTGCATGTATGTCTGTATATCATGCACATGCAATGCCAAAAAGGACAGAAGACAGTGCCAGATCTCTGTGCCTAGAGTTACAGATGGTAATGAGCCACCATTTTGAATACTGAAAATTGACCCTGGATGAACAGCCAGTGTACTTGACCATGAAGCCATTTCTTTGACTTCTTGATATAGACTTTTAAAATGTGTGTTAGCTAAAGTATACTAGCTTAAAATTCTCATCTTTTACAAATTAGAATTTATAGCATGTTTATTCTGTCATCTTACTGTTTTTCATGGGTTATGTAAATACAATAAATGTTGACCTACACCAGACTCTGTTCAATTTTTCCATTAAAATTATGATAATTAAATGCTACAGTCAATCCTAGCAACTTAGAAATGATCCCCTAATGAAAAAGAACAAAATGAAATAACATTCTAATAGATATCACCCAAAATTAGGAAGTAAACTATTAACATTATTTAAAAGCAAAATAGGTAATAGATTGTATTTTCAAAATAAAGTTTTACCAATGCACTGACTTATCCAAATACCTCTGCAGTTATGAATATTAAACTGGATTCTTGGACAATATATTTATTAACCTGAGAATCTGAGTCAGTGAATTTACTGTGGAAGTATGATATTCTGACTGTTCTTATTCTTCTACTTCAACAGTAGGTTGAAGGCCATATGTGTGTCTGTCCACGACTGTTGTGCCTGATACCTGGAGAGGTTAGAAGAGGGCATTGGATTCCCTGGAATTGGTGTTCCAGTCAGTTGCAAGTTATTATGTGGGCACTGGAAACTGAAACTGAATCTTTTGTAAGAGCCCCAGGTTTTGTCATATTTTTAAATCTGAAGAACCATATTGAAATTTCAACCAATAAATGTAGGTGTGTGTTATTCTTACTTAAAACTTTTAAACCTATGAAAACTACACCCCTCCGAAATTATTAGACAAACTTCTTTTAATTGAGCTGTAGTTTTCCCATTTCCATTTTAATATAAGTGTAATTCTTGTAAAACAAGCAGTATAAAATACAGTCTATCCCTTTTATTGCTGAAATGCTTCACATTGAAATTATAATTATTAAATAAAATATAAATAGCAAAATTTTGTTTATATTACCAATGTCAGCTGAATTTGTCATAAGCAAACACTTTACTTTTTCTTATCTTCTAAATTTCAAAATCAAGTTAAATAACCAGTATTACTTACCTTATATCTGATTTCTGTGAATGACTATTTATATAATTATTAAAATCTTTGTGAATTCTTTTTTAATTAAATTTTTATTTTTTACATTAATTACAGTTTATTCACTTTGTATCCCAGCTGTAGCCCCTTACTTCATCCTCTCCTAATCCAACCCACCCTCTCTCATCTTCTCCCATGACCCTCTCCAAGTCCACTGATGGAGGGGTCATCCTCCCCTTCCATCTGACCCTAGATTATCAGGTATATTCACGACTGGCTGTATTGTCTTCCTCTGTGGCCTGGTAAGGCTGCTCCCCACTCACAGGGAGGTGATCAAAGAGCTGACCACTAAGTTCATGTCAGAGACAGTCTCTGTTCACATTACTAAGGCACCCACGTGGACACTGAACTGTCATGGTCTACATCTGTGCAGGGGTTCTAGCTTATCTCTACCCATGGTCCTTGTTTGGAGTATCAGTCTTAGAAAAGACCCCTGGGCCCCAGATTTCTTGTTTCTATTGCTCTCCTTGTGGAGCTCCTGTCCCTTTCAGGTCTTTCTATTTCCCTCTTATCTCATGAGATTCCCTGTACTCTGCCCAAAGTTTGGCTATGAGTCTCAGCATCTGCTTTGATACACTGCTGGGTAGAGTCTTTCAGAGGCCCTCTATGGTAGGCTTCTGTCCTGTTTCGTTTTCTCCTTCTTCCAATGTCTATCCCATTTGTATTTCTGAATGAGGATTGATCATCATTTTCTACAAATACTCAAGAAAAATCTATCAGTCAAACACAGAGAAGGTATTGAAAGTAGAGCTCAGAATAAGATAATGGTCATTCCATGCTTGCATTTTGCTCAAATGAGGCAGATACAATACCATTTTCCAATATTTATTAAAACTATAGGAAAGATTGTGTACACTCTTCTAAACTCACATTTTAATTAATTATTTATCCACTTTACTTCCCAATCATAGCCTCTCCCTCCTCCCTTTTTTGTCCCTCC